TGACAATAAAAAGAGGGCTCTAATAAAATGTGGAAAAAGGAAAATTCGCTTATTTGCTTAAATCTAAATTTGAGTAAAAAAAAGTTGGAATAATGGAAATTTATATTTTGCTCACACTCATAAAAAGTTAACCTTGGTAAAAGTTTGATGAACCCAAAACTTAAGAAATAAAAAGTTTATTTGACTAATTCAAAGTCGTTGTTGCCTTGAAGTTTTTATCAAACAGTGTGTGCTGAATCACAAAGCTGCAACTGCTCAGTGGAAACTCTGCCTGACGCTCCCATGTGCTTTGTTTCTGCTCTATTTTCCTGCATATTTTAATCTGTGATAGGAAAAGAGATGAGAGTAATTTAACAGCAGCAGCCGAACCCAGGACGAGTTTTACATGAAAACATTAAATAATATGACGAGCTGTTGTGTCGAAGCCTCGAGTTTGACATTAAGTCCGGCAACATCTTGGTTTTCTTGAAACCAGAAGTTACCATATTTGGAGGAGCGGGGGGTGGAGCCTGACGTGTTCTCGTTGACCTCCATAGAAAATGACCTCTTTTAAAACCAGCAGAGTCGCCCTCTGCTGGCCACTGAAGAGAATTCCGATTTCAGGCACTTCCGAATTGGGTCTACGTTAATTTTAATATTCTATGTTTTAAGCCTGTCTTTCTTCAGGCAGTTAAAAGCTCAAGGTCAGCGAACCGTGTCTTGCTCAGAGGAACTTCAGCAGCGTGTTTGTTTCCCAAAGTACGAGGCTGAAAACAAACCCCCCCCCGCCCCCGCCTGTCCTCTGCAGGACTACAGCTGAATCTGGTCGACTTTCGCGTTTGGTTTTCTTGCTGCTGAATAAATCACTGGATTTCCCCTGTGCATACTGCAGGACTTTCATCATCCTTCAGATCTACAGTAGATTCAAAGCACTCTCACACAGATCAAGTACAGAATAAAGATAAAAGGTGATAAAGCGCTTGTTTCAAGGAAGCCCTGCCTCGCTGTCATCTATTCGGCCATGTATTCTTTTTATTACTGTATTTTTATGAGTGATAGAAATCACAAATATTAAAGCTATAATATGTAAAACAACTCTTCATAAAAATGTCAAAAAACTTTAACATTAACACCCAAATAATTCTCTTTGGTCAACGTCTATAAATTTTGTTTTAGAAGTCCAATCAAAGTGACCTCACTGTCACGTATAGTTCTTCTAAACGTGTCGATATACGTCTATAAAAATGTATTTAATTTGTTTGATTGATGATTTCGCGAGGCAACTGTCAAAGTCACACTTCCAGAGTGAAGCACAGCTCTGACAGACCTGAGAAATATAATCAACATTTAGCATCTTTGTCTTTGCTGTCGTTCAATGTTAATGAACTTTAATTAACATACAGATTTAACGATGTGATTCGTGCAGTAGCTCAAAATGTCGTTGCAATCAGCCGAGTGTAATTTGTTTGTGTTGACGTGTTGTTTCCGCCCCCATTTGTTCTCAGCTGTCATCTCCTCACTTCTTAACTAAGTTAGAGTTTAGCAGAGTAGAGTTTCACAGGCTGGTACATGTATTCGATCTCACTTGTAATAACTGCTGGTTTTTATCTCCTGTTATAAAATGTATTGGCACATTAGAAGCAGAGGATTTCTTATACAGGGAGAACTTCCAGGTTGTGTAGGTTGCTTTAAAAAAACGCATCAAACAGCCAAAAAAAACCAAACACAGCAAGCTTATAAATAAAGCCAAAGACTTTTCCTATAGCTGTGGTATCATGATAAATATCAGTATCAGCATTCTTTATGATAATATCAGCATGTGTGGAGCAGCCGGCTCTGCTCCTCCCTGCGTCCTGCAGATCCGATGCAGTTTAATTAATGACTTGATAACTGCTGAGGCGTTCAGGCGAGCACAGGCATGGAGCTCGACTGGTTGTGGAGGGAGAGCAGGATTTCTCTCCACCTGCTTCTCCATATGCTCTCATCTTGTTGTGTTTTCCCGCTTTGTCTTTGTCGTGCTTTTCCATCTGGCTTACACACACACACACACACACACACGCACACACACACACGAACCAGGAAGCATGAAAATGAGTGGTAAATTGGTGAGGATCTTGGCAGACACTTGAACGTAGGAGCTTGGAGGACGTGGGAAGAGGAGTGTGTTAGTGTTGTTTCATCTCTTTAAAAAGCAGCAGCGGTTCCACTCACGGTATCAGGACGTTGTCAACCAGCGTTTCCGTGATACGATCAGTGAGTCAGCAGCTCCACACTGTCAGAGCAACACATGATCCTGTTGCACTGAATCTTATCAGTGTGCAGGTGAAGAACGAGGAAGAGGAGGAATGTTTGGCTCTTCACTGTCGGAGGTAATAACAGTGTCTGATTCATATCTCACGCTGTTGGTGGACAGTTACATTGATCTCACCCTTTGAATCTTTTGTTTATAAGCATGATGCCTGTATATACGTCATAGACAGTTTAATGACACGAGGCAGGCTGCAGTATAGGTCACTGAATTCTCCATGTTAGTGGACGGGACATGCACCAAATGAAAAAGTCAAAGTACACATTATTTTAGGTATAGTTCTTATCACACTGATGTTCAAGTGCTATTTCTTCCACTAAGTTTGGTTTCAATTGAAAAAGGTCAACAGCTGAGACTGACTCACTATTGTTGGAGGGCATGCATCCGAGGGACCTGCGGTTCAGTCTCTAACTCCAAATGGATAAGTTAAGATAAGATTTATTGATCCCGTGCCAGAGAAATTCCCTTGTCACAGCAGCAGAGAGTCAAAACAAGGTAGACAAGAGAACATGTGAAAGAAAAAACTGAATAATAAATCAAATCTTAACACCTAAACAGTTCCGTGCTCTGCAGGAGAAGAGAAACCACAACAGTGACAGATGCAAAATAAATACAAGAAGAAAAGACAAAGATAATTCTTCAGGTCAGGTTCTTAAAATTCTCAAATTTGCATTCCTGCACTCTGCATCCTTGAATCAACTGCCCACAGGGAGCCACTCTTTCTAGTTCTGCCTCTGTTTCCTCATTAAGTTCAATATTTCTTCTACTTAATCATATGCAAGAGAGACAGTCTCACTCTGTGTTTTCAGTTTAGCTTGTTGAGGATTAAAAAGAACGACTAATTTGGGTTTGTGCGTTCCTCCACCTACACACATATTCAGAATGAACACAAACCATGAATAGTGTCAGTCTGGTTGCTCGACACTCGGGCCTGGATCTCTCTTGGCTTTTCACTCGTCTGCCTCCGTGTGAAGAGCAGACATCTGTTTGGGAGGAGAACTCGTCCTCACTCTTTGTAAGAAATGAAACTCCCCCTATTGTTCTTTCTTTTCACCTTTTGTTTCAGAAAAGTTTTTGTATGTTTGAATAAATAAGAATAATACGAGAATCTACTGTATGAAAATTATCCCAAACCAAGAATTTTGGAATTTAGTTCAGTTGTTTTGTCGGAGGTAGAATGACAATATGAACATTATTTGCATTTCTGTGACCAGACACCAACTCATTAATATAACAGTTGAGTCTTATCACACAGACAACTCCTACTTTATCAATTCCTGTATAGATTTACATCAATTTGTTACATTACAAATTATTATTTATGGCTAAAAAAATCTATAAATTTGCTCAAAATACTTGGAACCATATAAGAAATTCAAAATCTTAAACCTGGCTCTCGAGTGAAGGACACAATCAATATAATTTAGTTCATTATTTAGTTCATTTTGCAGCAGCATAACCTTCAAAAATTCATATCTACTTGAATTTCAGAGGCACTTATCTGAATCTTAAATAAACTTTTTGTATGTAGGTACGCTGCTGCTGTCTGAGGTGTAGAAATGCTAATAGAAGACTTTTGCAGCTCCTGGTTACTGAACCTTAAAAACGCTGCGTGTATTATTCAGCGTTTAAGTAGCACAGCGGCTTCATTAGTTGCAATTAATTTCCCTAATTGCACTTTTTAACAGGCCCTCCATTATTGCACCATGTATTTTACAGCAGCACCAGGTTTTATCTAATTCTAATCATCTTGCCCTCAGCCTCAACACTTACTCTATAAAAGGTTATTGTGATTTGGGTCGTTGCAAACGTTTGGCGGGGCCGTTAGTAAGTAATTATGAATTCTTTACTCTGAGCAGCTTAAAGTCACAAAGACATGAAGCAGCTCTGTCCTCTGCACTAAGTCGGAACTGTCTGAAAGGAAACTGCTCAGTGTCGAGGACGAATTTGTTTTAATCCCACTCATGATGAAGGTGCAGTTTATTAAAAAGGATTTGAGGCTCAGAGGAGCAGGAGGTGAGACTGTGAGTCAGTGTGGTATTCATGAGACAAAGAGGCCACATTTAAAATGAGCTGTTCATCCTTTTATTTGACAAACACTGTGCCCAGATAGCATATGGATGTATGATATATATATAGTATATATATATATATACACACTAAAATTAAGCCATATCTTTCCAAATTCGCGAAATAAAATGTAGGGAGGTGTATCTTTAATAAACACATCACTGTCTCAGTCTGCCGGGTGCTCTCTGTTTCTCAGCAACAGTCCTAAACTAATCCTAAAACAGTTTCACTTTTCACTGCAGCATTGGAGCCGTTAACAAGCCGCACATGGATCAAATAGATTAAGGGCACCTTGCCTGTGATTGGTGCCGTTGATTGTGAATGACTCTGGTGGCTGTGATTGCCAGGACCTGTTGTGTCTGCAGAGACTTTGTTAAAACGTAGGTTAGCGATGGTGAAGGATAGAGAACACATGTCCCTGTGCCCAAATTAATTCTGCACAAGCCTCACAGCATGAGTGAGAGGAGAGAGGCCGAGGCCTGCTGAAGTGTCGGCTGAATTAACAAAGGACCAGGACGAAGAGGTGAGAAGCTCGAGACATGCAACGTAAGTGAACTATGACAGACGTCCCCATTAAACAAGGAGCAGCTGGCAGCCGAGCGCTCAAACAGAGAATGAGCGGCTCTGACAAAATGGGAACATCATGGAGCAGGATGGAGAAACTGAGCTCATCCTGGTGGAGCGGAGCAGTGACACCACGCCACCAGTCAGAGCCACAATCCAGGATCAAGCATCTACGAAAACACCAGGGGACGAACCACTGCATGAGAGAGAAGATGAGCAGAGGATGAAGAAGACGACGTCCTCCATGACCAAGGCAGAACTAGAGCAGGCCCCGAACACCAGATCCATCAGGACGGTGTTCTACCTCAACAGACAGGAACCAAGACGAAGGTTGTGCAAAGACACCTCTGAGACAGTCCAGCACAGAGTAGCAGGGTGTAAGATGCATGCTGGGTAATACTTGACGTCTGTATGCTAATGTGCTCTAATATCTAATTAGCATTTGTCCTTGGTGGAGACCAGCGAGCCCTCATGGCTGTTGCTTACGGAGCGGGAGGATTAGTATTTGCCATCAGGTGTAAACACACACACACACACACACACACACACACACACACACACAAATCTCATACACACAATCCCCCACTTATATCCTGCACTCATGAGGACCTTCACCGGATCCCTTCACACATTCATTCATTTTAAAAGTAACCTGTTTCAAAGGGATCGTCTCTTTGATCTGTGTCACATTCAAGCTTTAACCCTCAAACGGCCTTTTGAAGAAAAATTAATGAATTCTCCAAAAGTGTCTCTTTGTTGAACCGGTCCTCAGAAGTGTAGAAGTGAAGAGTGTAAGAGCACACACACACACACACACACACACACACACACACACACACACACACACACACACTCCGGAGAGTTACTTTAACGTCCTTTAACATCAGCACCTGCTGACGATGACCTCGCTCCTACCTGAAGTCAGATATATAAATAAAATAACAGAACAGTGAATTGCACAAAATGATAATAATTTATGAGGCAGGTGAGAAAAAAGCACCTGCACTAATGTATTCTAACAAAAAACTGCTCCGCTTTGTTTTAGTTGACTGTGTCACAACGATGGTGAATAAACTCTGTTCTGTTGGAGGCTGCAGGTGGTGACATGTTGTTTTGTGTTCCTGTTAATGTGTTGTTGATGTGTTTCACCTCGTCTCGGCTTTCATGAGCAGGCTTGACGTGGTTGTTGGACAGTTTGATTTTTATTTGCCAGGTGCTGAGTTATTTGTGAAAGTCCAGTTTTTAATCACAGTAAACAGAGATCGGGTAATTTACGTGTAAAATGTCGAAAACAAGCCGTATCGTAATCCGTCCAGTTGTTTTTGAGAAATCCTGTTAATTAAATACTGTTTTAAAATAAAGTTTTACCTCCAAACATCCTCTTTCTTCTGTTAAATTCCAATAAATAAACGTCCTCTGGTGACAGAGAGGAAACTGACAACCTGGTGGATTGTTCCTCGTTTTTTCCTGAAGCATCTGTCAGATCCTCCTCCTCTCTAATTAGTTATCCTGCTTTCATCTGTTGTTGCTCGTGTCATTTGTCGTGTTCGCTCAAGGTAATGGGATGCACACGTACCTGTATCTCTTTTTTCAGTCCTGTCGTCCTGTCAGCTCTCACGTTTGCAGCAGAGGAGTCGCTGATGTAGCCGTTAAACGAGTAACTGTCCCTGCTGAAGGCTTCCAGTGATGGATTTAACGGCGTGAAGCTGGAGTATTCTCCTCTTGTTTGGCCTGCAGGGGAAAAGTCTGCTGCTCTGGCCACTAAATGATCAATCTAATGTCGTTCGATCAGCAGATTGGCCTTTCTGGATAAATCTCATTAACTCTGGAACAAAGCATTCCCCCATCACTCATCAGGACAAAATGTCACAGTAAATTGGCACCTTTGCTCCGTGTGCACTGAGAATTCATATGAGCCCATGAAACCTTCTGCTCACCTCCGTGCAAAGACTCCACCTCTGGATATATAAAGTTCACCGTGTCCTGCAAGATGTGGTCGTCAAAAGAAAAGTACCTCGTGGTGTATTACATCACACATGGTGCTGAGGAACAAACAGGAAGAGAGCGGCTGTCAAATGGATCTAAACGATACTGATTCAAGATTCGATTGTAGATTCACTTTCACATATGAATAAAAACCTAACGATATTTGGTGTTTGTATTATATATATATTATATTATCAGACACAGAAAACACATATGTTGAATAAATATATACATTAGGATACTACACACAACTATATGGAATTACACACATTGAATAAATAAGATGTGAATATTGCTCATATTGAACGAAACTGCTGAAACTAATAATTAAAAATGTGATAAATATAACATATATGCTGTATTGGAAAGTACTGTAAACAGGGTATATTGAGAGAATATACTGAGTAAGTAATTTTTTGAAATGCATTATTCACCCGATAATTAATTATTGCTGAGAGTTATGTAATCCTGAAGCCACAGAAGACTATTCGAAGACTCACAGCTGTTTTCCAACAAATAGTGTTTCTATAAAATGGGTCATGTGTTGTAAATACAGGATGCAGCATATTGACTCGAGCTGTAAACACAGAAACACGGCAGCAGATCTGTTTTCATCTGACAGGTGCTGCAGAAAGTAAGAGGAGCCAGAGCAGATGATCCACTCTCCTCCACTCTCCAACACAGAGTCAGACATCTGTGCCGAGCAGAGGGCAACCTGCGATACTCAAACACACCTCACGCATGTTCTCTCGGCTCCGAGTCACACCCTGATCGATGGTCGGACAGAAGCAGACAGGAAGGAAAATCATCTGGGGATATTTATCAGAGGACGATGAGAAGGAAGACGACACAGGAAATAGAGCATTTTGCTTTTTCGTTGGTGGTTTTCAAACTTTCGTGGAAAAAGACACAAAAGGAGCGTAACTCGGCTGATATACGTTCAGAGTAGAGTCGCTTTGTGCTCATCCTCTGGGTGTTTTCTCTTTTACTCTTGAAAACGAGCGTTCAGAGCCTTTACCTTCAGGGAGGGAAGGAAAACTTCAAAGATAAAACCATGTGGTAACTTCGAAGCAGCGGGGATAGTGAGGAGGAAAACTGCAAAAATCGAGCAAAACTAAGAATTAATGTTGAGAGTTCACTGGATGTTTTGTTTTTTGGGTCCACTTGGTTTCTGTGCATTTGCAGCCGGCTCTCTGCCAACATGAACAATAAAAACTAAAGCGCTCCCTGCCTCCTCACAGGTGCTGCAAATGAAACTGTTGACATAATGTAGCACACAGCTCATAAACAGGAAAAATGGGCCATTTATTTCCCTGCAAACAGTCACGTGACCGCCTGTGACATTTCCAAGCAAATGTCATTGTAGCACTCAGAGGAGAGGGAGGTGGAAATTTAATTTACAAGTCATTTATTGAACTGCAGCTCTCGAACAAAAGACAATAGCTGAGATGGGATAAATACTTGAAGATTCAAAGGTTGAGGGTGTGACACTGGAGGAGTGAAGGTGAATGAGGATGTAAAAAAGAATAGCTGGACCCATAAATACCATACATAAAACTGTTTGTAGAGGACGGGACCGGAAAGGGAAGCTAATGCGGCACTTTATTCAAGTTTCAATAGTAGTCTACGAGAAAATGTCTCCACTTGATTTATGACGTTTCCTGATGAGTTTATCGTCTCAATCTTGAGTTTCAACTCTTGATACATAAAATAAAAGTTCATACCAAGTAAACACGTCTTTGCCTGCATTAGCATCTGCTGCCTGAGACATACGACGCATCACTCATTGTGTGCAGGTCATTTTCTCCGGAAATCTAAAACAGGTCAGCAAATACGTGAGAAAAAAAGTCCAAGATTATCATTATCTTCCCTGTGCAGGGGGAGTCCCAGCTGATGAACACCCTGAACGTTAATCGAGGCAAGAAAAGTGCGGTGGATGCAGAGCAAAGCTTCCCCGTAAACACAGGTGACCCTTTGTTCTAATAGCGACCATAAATAGGACAAAAGTGTCCATAAATACAGAGCAGCGCTCGGTGAAGCAGAACAACTTCCCAGGGGGTTTTATTCTGCGGCTGCTGTATTCCTCTTCCTCCAGGTCCTGTTTCAGCCTGGTTTGAATTGCTTCCCATTATCGTCTGCAGAGAGGCTGCTCAGCTGTTAACACCTGCAGTCACTCAGACCTATCTTAATGGAGATCTCCCTCCGAGACCGAACAATCTCTACAATCACCACTTTGGCAGCGAATACCAACTGAAAACACAAGACGGTTAAGAGTTAACGCCCAGCAACACAAATAAAGCTGCACTTTTACAGAATGGATTGAAGCTCCGTAGATTTTAAAGTTGCAAGGATTTCTTAAAATCAGTCGGTGAACTGCTGAAAGAGTTTCGATCGTTCAAACAATTTGAGATTTTTGAGTTCAACTGAAATGAACTATCAACGCATAGTATGGAGAGAAGGCTCATTCCAGTCCTGTAGACGTATACATGAGGTTGAGCATAAATTGAATAAAGTATGTATTTGAACGGTACAATCTTACATTTCAACAAGGCTCCCTTATGGTATTGATTCGAGAGTCTCTGCACCGAGGTTGAAGAATGGAATGATTTTGGAACGGTAAATTAGAAAAACTCCATTTAGCACGGACTAAAATTCAATAGATGAGACGAATCACCGAGATCACTGGTGTGCGACGGGGTGGAGATGTCAACTAAAAAAAAAAGAAAGGATTTTACATTCCATTATTAATAATTCATGTTAATTTAACATCCAACAGTTTGAATTTCAATAAAAAGTGGTCAAAGTCAGTCTGGGTCAGTGCAGCTTCAGTATTCGACCCATCAAAGAGACGAGGTCATAGAGTATTCTGAGTGTTCTACATCTTTGTGAGAACCAATAGAGCAAAAACCCAAAGGATAGTGTGTCTCCATAAAATCAATCAGGACTGATGTCTCAAAAAATCTGAAAAAAAACATTTCATATCTAACCTTATTACCTTTTTGTGCAGTATTGAGTTCTGAAGAGTGCCCGGTTTCTAAAGTTGGCATTGAAGCTCTTTCTTATTCTGTCTTTGATTCGCTGGTCAGATATTTATTTGATCCACGTAAATCTACAAACTTTGCAGACTTTTTACTCGATTTCACTTTTTTGGCAAAGTTCTTTATTTAACACCGATGTAACGAAATACGTTTATTCTATTAATTATTGACTAAATTAACGAAATGCTGATAATGAACATTTTCAAGTGATAACGGCACATTTAAAACTTTCATTTTGATAATGATGATGATAATTCATTCAATAATGAAACCTTATTGATTACATACTAAAGTTTCCAAAGACCAGTTTATATGATGAAAACTTGGGCACTGATCTACAAGT